GCCCTCGCCCTCTCCTCCGCTGCCTGCGGAGCCGGCAGCTCCCAGCGTGCGGAGCGGGACTGCGGGAGCTCCCAGTCGAGCGGCGGCTGTGGCAGAGGGGCCATAGACGGCAGGGCTGCTTGCGCCATCGGGCACACGTGGCACGGGTTTGCCAGCATCGCCCGACAGTCGAGCAATGGCAAGAATCATTGCTCACCCGGCCATCATGACTCCTTTCCCTTGATAACAGCCTGTGTCCCCATTCTTACTTAGGCAGTGCAAATGAGAACCAGACCTGAAGGTTAGCACTCGGGAACTCGCCCGGCCGATGCTGTTCATGGGGAGGTGCCTTGCCCCAGCACGGCCACCTCCCAAACCAGCCCCCACAGACAGCTCAGGGGGACCCTTTTCCTCAGTGGGGTATCACAGAGAGTATACTGGGAAGGTGGCCTCCGCAGGGAGGCCATTACCCTGGTTTAAGGTTTTCACCTGGAAAGACTGGGATACCTTACTGTATGAGATGTATATGTTAGTAAGTCAATGTATGCATTTCTGCTGTAAGCCCTTCTGCGCACTGAATCTTGTATATCATACAAGCATGTAAATTGGTGGGTAGTCTTTATATGAGAAATGGTTAAACTCGCTGCAGCAGGTTGTTTTGCTCAGCGGCGTTGCTCCGGGCCGGGCACTCCGGGGCCGGGACCTGGCTGAGGCCATCGTGCCCCTGCCCCATGGTACGTGTGGGCCAGCGCAGGCAGCAAGCCCTGAGGTGAGCCCCGAGGGTTGGTCTCCCACATGCCCAAAGGCTGAGCCATTCTCGCCTTCCCGGCCCGAGGGGCTAGAGCACAGGGCAGAAAGTACGTTTACATTGATACCTGTGTGCCTTGGGCTCGCACCAGCTCCCTGCGCAGACATCTGATATTAATGTGGTATTCAAAGGCTTTTACTATTGTTTTTTAATATTTTTTACTATTGCTTTTACTATTGTTGTTGTTTATTAAAATGGCTGGTTTGTGCTGACGTATAGCTGTACCCGATTCCCATGCAGCCACAACTTCAGATGGCTATCCGGTTACACTTGCCTAAGATTTATTGCTTCTTGATTCTCACCCTCCCTGTGAGTAGTTCTGTGGTTTTCTCCTCTGAACCCTACCAGCGAGTGGCTTTTCATTTTATTTATATGCGTTGGTCTGGTTGACCACTTGCCACCCCACTGTGTATGAACTCATGATGGAAGGTCCAACAACACAGAAATAACTGCTGCAGAAGGATTTCATCCTGAACTTCAGTAAGGAGATAGATTTGATTTTTTTTTTTTTTTTCTTTTCCTTCTCTAGTCCTGTTTCTTTTTTAAAATAAACCATGCAGTTTATTTCTTCAGTCCAGCTGCCCCCCATCCTCCAACCATGTCCTTTACTTCATCGTACCACAGAAATTATGTGGTTGTTCGGTAAGGGTAGGCAGGAGCAAAGTGTACTTCCACGCTGCTGTGCCTCCTCCTCTGAGCTTCCTCCTCTCCATGCAGTGAGAGAGAATGTTTCCAGAACAGCCTTCAGGGGAGTAGCTGCGAAGGAGGGATTGGAGCTGGACACTTAGATTACTTTGGATATCAGAAAGCTTGTCTTGGATCTGTTGAAATGTGTCGTTTCTGCCAGTCTTGGCTGTGCTGGGAAAAAACAAACTACAGAGAATATGCCCTCCCTAACTTTTCACCACTGCTTAAATGTTACCTTCTGCTTCTTCTTTTGTCCCTCCTTAGCCTTTCCAAAATACTGACGCTGGTACTGTTCTGCTTTTCCCAACCGTGAGAATCAGTAGCTTTCTTTATGTGCTAGTGTAGCTTCGTTTGTCTCGAGAGCATACCCTCTCTGAGAGCGTGCTATTTATTAGCAACCTCAAAATGGACCTTATTTTAAAGCCATTTTGTTCTTCCTCCAGATCCAAAATGTCCAGGGGACGTGGATCTCCAAAGCGGCGATTGGGACATCAAGACGATTACCAGCTCTCTGAAGTTTTATCTCAGGTAGCACTGCAGGTCACACCTGCCCCAAGTGGGCAAAAGAGCTTGGGGCTGATCCAGGTGAAAAGCGGAGTGAGCAGCCAGATGTTAACATCCGGCTGTTGGAAAGGGCAAAGAAGTGACAAAGGCTTTGGGAAGATGAATGGATTTTTTTGTTGTTTTTTTGAGAAATATGTCTATACCCCATATCCTATGGGGAAAGCTGTTTGAGTAATACTGGCTGGGAGGAAGATGCCACCAGGAACCGGTGGTGCTGGAAGGCGAGCAGGTTTGCCCATCGGTCCTTCGAGATCCGTCACAACTGGGTCGCGCTGCCCTGCCGGAGCTCAGTTTTCTTTCTGGTTATTGCAGGAACCTGTCTGAACCCGTCATGACATACAAGCTCCACAAAGAGTTGGTCCTGGCTGCCAGTAAGTCCCACAGCTGCCCTGCCGACGGTCCCTAGCCCTGCCCTCCCCAACCAGTGTACATCAAAATCACTTGACAGAGCTCTACCAGCCTGACACCGGGGTGTCCGCCCACTTCCCCTTTCGAAAGAGGAGTGACCCTCTCTTCTGAGCGCTTAATTGTGCACGGGAGGCGGTGGTATTTCTTCCCTTCTTTCCTTTGCTATTGCAGTGCTCTTCCCTTTAACAGGGTTTCATGATCTCGGAGGGTCTGGAGAGCCAGGGGATGTCAACTAACCTGAAATCAGCACAAGTGTCCCAGAAGTATTGTTTCTCGATAGTATTAATATATTTATTTTAAAACCTGTGAGGGAATGGCATGTGCTGTTGCTACGCAGATAGATGGGTGCTCCCTTTAATTCGTGAAATTTGTCCTGCAATACTGAATTCAAAATGTCTACCAGTACATGAAAGACATTTTTCTGCTGCAGCTCTTGGGACTGAGCCACAGCCAGCATTAACGGAGGTTAGCCAAGTAACATGGGTATGCTGACAGGGCATCACCTGTGCTAAACTGGCCAGTCCTCGCCTGTTCTGTTGTTATAGCCATTTTGAATAAGCCATAATAATTCTGAACTGGCTTCATCCTCACAGCGTGTTGAGAGCCAGCATGCTGAGATGGAGACTAGAGGGATACAGGGAGTTGGTCATCTCCCTCAGCATGAGAGCACTGGCATTTGGAAATTTATGGCACACTCAGAAACACTTTGGATTAAAGCATCCTTCACACCCCCATGCCTCCTTGAAGTGAACGGGAGGGTAGGAGAACACCCGCCTCTCCTCAGTTTGGGCTGCTGGAGAATTAATAACACTCATTCTTTCTTGGAAAGGAAAATTTTCTACCCCCTACTGATTGTGCTCAAGCCCAAGATTTATTAGTTTCAGAACTGGTTAAACCAATGATGGCTGGGTATGTGCAAAACCATAATCCCTTCCCTACCCTCCCTCAGAAACTTGCACCATTAAGCTTCCCAGCTACCAAGATCCCACACTATTCTTTTCAAACCGAGTATTTTATTGTTTCTTGATTATTTATGCTTCCAAGGGTGACCTCTTTGGGTCAGGGACTCAATCTTTTTCCCTGCAGGACATTTTACCACGTTGTTCAGTGTTACAGCTATCTGGGCTGATAAGATACCCAGCAGAGAGGCCGTGTGTTCCCCAGGTGTGCTGGTGTGCGGGGCAAGGGTGCGAAGGGGAGTACCCGGCCATGCCCAGCCTGTTTCCCCGGCTGTGCTCAGAGGCAGAGTGCGACCCTGAGCTCCGTTTCAAGCTTCATTTCTCCCTCTTTCCACGTCATTTTGTTTCTCACAATGATTACCCTGTTGCTATGTAATCTCACTTTCCTTCTGCTTCTCATCGCCGGGTTTGGCCAGCCAGCCCTATGTTGCAGAAGGAACAGCTCCCACAGATTTTCTTTGGCTTGATCTTTCTCTTATGTATTTACTTTGAAAGTGGTGGGCACAAACTTTTCTTTGTGTTACTTCTTTCCAGAATCTGAGAACCTGGATTACAGGCTGGGAGCCATTCACGCGCTGGTCTATAAACTACCTGACAAAAACAGAGAGATGTTAGAGCTCCTCATACAACACCTCGTCAAGTAAGCAGACATTTTTCTCTAAAGCCAAAGTAAGGGGAATAATGGAATCAGCAGAACAAGCCTTTTTTTGTGGCAGGTTTGCAAAATTGTATCCACCATAGTCCCCCTAGGAATTTACATTTGGACTGCACAAATGGTATGATTATCCTTGCTACCCACTGCGTTAAGTGATGCTTCTCTTTCTAATTGCCGCTTTCATCCCCTTTCTGACAAGCACCAAGCAGGAAATAATTTTAAAATGAAAATACCCTCTGACAACAGAGCTATAAATTGTCACCTCTCACTCCAGTTAACAAGAACATTAGGTCTGGGGTTTGGGAATGGCTGTAGGACCTGTGCCCGTGGGCTGAACGTGAAGCATACTTTGGTTTTATCTCCAGCTCTATGGATTCAATGTCCTGAGCCCTTAGAGCAGCACAAAGGCTTGAGCGTGTCAGTCTCTGCTCTCAAGAGGCGTGTTGGATGCTTGATGGCACTGAGCAGTGCTGCTTCCACGTGCTTCCACCAGTGAGCCACTGAAAAAGTCTGTTACTTGATGATAATGGCACCAGCACTGCATTGGGAAATGGGTATTTTCCTGCCTTCTTGTCACACCGAATGCAAAGGCTTAGTGTGGAAGCTCTGCCCTCTCCACCCCAGGGAGGAGCAGGGGCACATCAGGGAGAGAAGCTTGTGACGAGCCATGCCGAAGCTCAAAAGCAAGGGAGCAATCAGTGTGCAGGTCAGGAAGGACCAGGGCTTGCAGAAGCAATGGCTTTTGTATGACAGGACTTGCTCTGGACCGTTGGAGAAGTCTTTTTCAAAACTAGACTGTTTCAGAAATAAGCAGGGCTGATCTGAGATTGTCACGTCCCGACACTCGAAGGGGAGTGCTTGGCCCTCGGTGCCATGCCCCCTCTTCGGGGCGAGGAGGGCTGGCTGGGGGATCCTGCCTGCCATCCGGTTCCAGCCTTTCATGCACACGTTTGTGTGGTTTTAAGAAACGTTTCTGCGTAAGTGGCAGAGCTGAGAGTGTCTGGCATGCAGTCCAATGAAGCTAACGCTGTACTCGTGGTCACTGTGTTTATTCCGTAAAGTGTTTACACTTAAATTCTGTTCCCTCTCCCCTCATGCTGACAGAAACCTCTTTAACACCAGAGCAAACCCAGAATTCATTACATGTCAGCATCAGAGTCTCTCTCCTCTGGTCCGCTTCTGGAAACAGGTAGTGCCCACCTAGGTGGTTAGTACTTCAGTCAACAATTGGTGCTGCTCCACAGGCTTGTGCGTTCCTCCAAAGCTTGAAGGCTGCTGGACAGAGAGAGCTCTGTTCTGTGAAAACAGTGGTTCTTTCAGAAAGAAGACGCTGTGTAGATTTATTGAAAACCTCCAGTTTGCTCCCTACATTCAGTCCTTCTCCTTCAGAGAGAGGAAGAATTAAAGCCAAAAGTCAGTTCTGGATAAACAGGATCTTCCGATTCAAATGATTTCTTTTGTGTATATGTTGCGCAGATGACTTTTGATTGCAGAGTTAAAAGATGAGCTAGGAGTGGGAACAGATCAAATAAAAATGCTGTCAGCATGTTGCTCTCCCAAACAGTTGTCCTCGCCAAACATGCATGTCATAGCTAGAGACATGTTTTATCTCTGGTAGGGCTGGGAAACAAATTCTGCTGAAACAAAATGAAGAAAATTGAATGACTGATTCCTACTGTATCCTTTTTTTATTGTGTGGAATAAGATCTGTTTGAAAAAACCAAACCAAACCCTATTCCTTCTTTCCCTCGTCTCCGCAGCATATGTGAGCACAGCCGAGAGAATCTGATGTCACCATCTAACATGGGGGTGATATTTGGACCTACCCTCATGCGAGCACAGGAGGACACCGTGGCAGCGATGATGAACATCAAGTTCCAAAACATAGTAGTTGAGATCCTCATCGAGCACTTTGGGAAGGTACAGGTGGCAGCCCCGGAGCGCCTCCACGCAGCTCCTGGCTGCTCCATCATGTTCATGCCAACTGTTGCTGTGGCAACCATGTAGAGCTCTGGCTCCTTTTTCTGGTGTCTTCTTAGGGGCTGGGATAGTTTTATATAATATACTCTTCTGAAATCCTTCAGAAGGGAACAAAAAGTGTAGCAGATATGTTCCTCACTGTTGCCTTTAGGTAGTTCCGAAGGAAACCCCGAGTCTAGGGATTTTTGCTTTTCTTTTTAAATAAGAGGAATCTTTATTGAAAAAAAACCCTATTCTATGCCTGGACATTACAGGACTTTACGCTTTTCTTTGCTGAAGACAGGACCTAGACCAGAGCATAACTGGTTTCAACGGGCATAGTCCAAGATGAGACGTTATACAACTATTAATACAGGTGAAAAAAACCCAAAGCAGACAAGTATTGAAAGGCTGATGAAAATAATTCAGCTGCGCATACAATCTGTCCGGATCCAGGTGTAGGGGATGGCGTGGGCAAGTCTGGGGAGGGGAGCTGCTGCCTGGGGTTGAGCTGTCAGAGAAGACTTCAGCAAGCGGCCGGTGCCTGTTGTGCTGGGGCAGTGCTCTGCACAGGGCAGTGCACCCTGGCGAGGGCTCCAGCAGCATTTGCCTTTCATGGGATCTTTGCTGAATATTTTTGTCTGAGAGCATTGCCTAAATGCACAATCTGCATTAGTCTGCTGTGGTGGGTGCTGAAGATGCACATGTAGACAACAGCTTTGTGTCGTGTGGCGTTTTGTCTCCTGATCAAAAGCAGAATATTCCGCTATCTTCTGTATTTGTGCTTTCTCCTCGTGATATCTGATATAATGGCTTAGCGTTTTCAGGGTGGCTGGAGGATGATAGAGCTGTATGTTAATATTTAAAAACTTGAGCAGTGTTTGCATTCAGATCAGCGTACCAGGGACCAGATTGCTCTCCTGATAACAGCACTAGGTTTGAAGGAGTGAGTTTGGTCCTTTAGCTTTTCATAATACTTTACAGAGTGTCCAAACAATCTCTTACGTCTTAGAGGTAAGGAAAGTTTGAAGCCATCCTTTAAAGGATGTTGTTTGCTGTAAGGAGGATGGAGTAGCGCTCCCAGCAGACAGGGCAGCACGCGTACAGAAGTGAAGCTCCCTTTTTGGGAAAGGAAGAGTAGGCCGAAGCTGAAAGAGCAGGGTTCTTGCAAAAGTGGATGTGGAGTCGGAGCAACCAAATGGGGACCAGATGGGTAGCGTGGGAGTCGGTTGTGGTGCTGAGGATTGAAACGAGAGAAACGGGATGAAAGAGCTCAGAGAGACTTTTGAGTATCCACACAAGAAGCTCATGAAAATCACAAGCCAGTTTCTTTGTAGTTCTCTGCAAACGCTTTAAATAAGTTCCCACAGCAAAACAGGGAATTTTTTGTGTGCTGGGGTCCTCGCACAACTTGGTCCAGAACTGAGCCTCTGTCATCCCCTCTTGTACAGCCTGCGGTGCAGGCTGAGTCAACACACAATTTACACTGCCACCTCTAAGAGCTAGAATTAAATCTTTAATTAAGGCAGGCATCTCTTCGCTTGATTTTAATTTCTTCAGCAATAAGGTTAAGTTAGTAACATTTATTAGATTGAGCTTGTAAGTTCAGCGTCAGCGCTGAAAGTGTTTTCAGCTCACACATGAGCAAACACTCTAAATGAGTCTGGAGGAAGAGAGGGTTATGGTTTATATAGTGCAATACGAAGACTCTAAGGACAAAGTAACTATTCATGAAGTCTTTGTGGATAATTACTGTTTCCACAGCTTATATTTCAGTGCCATGGTTAAATTAAATAAGCTGATTGCTCTGGAAACACCTTCTTCACTGTACAAGCCTGTCAATATCTTTGTACCTTCCAAGTTGTTTAACTTGGATTTTCATTTAGAAGGCAGAAGCAAAGCAGAAGCTGCACCCACGTCCTAAAGGGTAGTTTGCGGTGGGTTTTAGCATGGTTTTCACATGTTGAAAAGCATCTCATGAAAACAGCATTCTGTGGTACCTGTATTAGCATCCATGGGGAACTTAACACTTTTTTTTCTTTGAATAACAATATTGGACATTTGTCAATATGTAGGAATAAGGTTGATGTTTCCAGAAAATTGCCCTGCTGCAGGTAAACCTTTGCTATTTTAATAATACACGAGCTGCAGCTTTTAAATCACAGGCTGTTAATGTCACAGCAAATTCCTCTGAATCCAGGCAGGGGGAATGCACCAGACCTTGTATTCTGGAGTGGAGAAAATGTACTGCCCCTGCAAAGGGCAAAGCCCCTGTTGGCATTAAGCATCAGCAGCCACACCGTGTCACCGAATTGAGAAAGAAAAGCAGCTGAAATTACGAGATTGGGGCTTGGAGCTCGTTTGGGTCTTTGCCCTAGATGCCCCAAGAGGAGCCGCATGGGCAGCTGCAGAGCATGTTGTTCCTCCTCCCTTCATACAGAGTAGGGCAGACTAAGTCAGGAGCAAAGCCCGAGTACCAGCACACTGTATTTATACCGAGCCTGCTGAGTGAAAGCCTGGGCAGACTAGGCTAGGCGCAGCTCAGGTCTGACCTTGCTCCTGCGCTGGCCAGGCAAGAGAGGCGTGGGGAGCCCGGCTGCAGAGATGGCCGGTCCCCACCCTCACCGTGGTACACGGTACCTGGTCTTTGGGATGGAGAAGGTTAAAGTGAGGGCATGTTTTTCTCTCTCATCCCCCATCTTGATTTCCCAGAACTGCTTTTTGGCTGGGAGCAGAAAGAACATTTTTTTGGTTTAAATTACAAAAATGGCGTACTTAATCAAATCAGAATGTTAATTTTTTCATTTAAAAATTTTTCTGGGTGACACAATAAAATTGTTCTTCCATAACAAAGTGTGCACGGAGGGAGCAGTGACCCTGCTCGTCAGTTGGGTCTGGTGTGAGCTCTCATCGTCTGGGCTTGAGCCGTCTCCTGCCGACAGCCGGGAAGGGACCAGCTCCGTGTTCTCCCAGGACGGGCAGCACAGCACAGCCTTGGGTCTCAGCAGCCCATGCCACGCCGTCGGTAGTAATTCACTCTTTAAAGCCTGATATAAATTCAATTAATATCCATGGGAAAAACACAAGAGCAGTTGGTTTTGGTAGTGCTACACACTTCATTGTAAGCCAAGAGCTGAAGGGGTTTTTAGCATTAAATCTAAAACAATGCCATTTTGTTCGGGTGCTTTCTGTAGATTGTATCACCTCACTGGTGTGGAAATCTTGATGTTTCTCAGAAACTGTCAGCTTCAAAGCTTCCTTCATCTGCTCCAGGATAATTTGCTTCTACACATTTTGTCTATATTTGTGATTTTGCTGCATTAATTAGTTTAGTGCTGCAGTTGCTGCAGTGGGTGTGCAAGGTGCAGAGCAGGCAGCCTGTCTGTATGAAAGCCCACGGCAGGACACGTCTGTGGAGGCATAACTAAAGCATCAGCCCGCTCCAGCCCCTCTCTAGCCCTGGCAGCCGGGGCTTTCCCGGCTGCTGCCGACCCTTGAGAGCGGCTGGTGCGCACCGTCTGTCCCTCTCCAGAGAGGCTGGAGGACCTGGGGTCGCAGGGCTGGAGCAAACGGCTGCGAGGGCCCTGCCAGGCTCTCGTGGGCTGTGGCGGGTCAGGGTGCTTTGGAGCAGCCCTGGCTTTTCCAGCCCTCCTGGGTCAGTCAGAGGTGACTCAGGCCACAGACCGCTTCTGTGCGTGCTGGAGAGCAGAGGGGAGCCGGGCAGCCCTTGGCAAAGGCAGCGGGTGGCCGCTTGCCGTG